ACGTGAAGATTAAACGAGAGAACCGATTGCGCTTCTAATTCTCTAGTAATTACTTAATAGAAGAGCTACGTACTTATTTTGGATGAAGTATAGTTAAATTCATTAGAAGCCATTTTTAACAAAAAAAGCAGTGTCTTCGACTAACTGTCTATCAATAAAGGTAAAAGAATTCAGTTACAGATATATCAAAAAACAATGCTGTATACGAACGAGAATTACTAAACACGTTTTTCCATATATCTTTATTTTCTTTCTTTGCTTTAACAATACGAGACTGTACATTACACAGCGTCATAGCAGAAAGGAAAAAACACTGTACTTCTCTTTTTGATAAAAAAGACATGTGTATATAGAAGAGTGAATTGTAACCGACGAAACTCTCCTGATTTGTGTTCTAGTGGCAAGACCCGAATGAAACCCGAAGCTTTTTTTCCTTTGACCCGACCCGAATCAATATTTTTTACTTTAACCCGAACCCGACCCGAGACAATCGGATCCGACCCGACCCGTTTCGGTCTCTGATACACATTACTTGAAGGATCAGCCAACGGCCGAAAATGAGATATAATAACTAAACAGGTGATAGAAATCTGAAAGCTACTTTTCATGTTTTGGGTTCCCGGAGATTCTTGACGTTACGTAAGTTCTTACGTAAGACGATATGATAAGATTATGGCTCGATAGTTTAGGTGGTTAGAGCGTTGACACGGTATAAGCGGTGTCCCTGCACTCACCTATATATGTCGATATATATCAAGGATTTTTATATTTCTGCTTGATTTTAATAGTATAAATTAGGAACTGTACGACAAAATGTGTCTACTGTACGCGTGGAAAAAAAACAATAACGAACCATCTTTAATCTGACGCACTAAATATATATATATGACGAAAAAGGAAAAAAGAAAAATGAAAACAATCTAAATATGTATGAACGAAAACTTCTTGAATATAAAGAAAGAAGAAAAGAATGTACTAAAACATCTCTAGATGTATATGATATAACAACGAAAAGGAAAAATGGAAGGCCTCGATTTAGAACTATTCAAACGGTATGTGTAAGGCTCTAGCCTGTAACAATCCTCCCCACCAATAAAAGTGGGTGTCCTCACACACTAAACTGCTAAAAAAAAACAGGAAGTCAGGAAGAAGAAAATTTCAGCAAAAACTGAAAATGTTCACGAGTAGTTGACTAAATAGAAAAATCTGACTGATCTGAACGATGGAAGAAAAAAACAAAAAGAACATTGTCATAATATTTGGAGTGTTGTATATCACTTCGTCCTGATTATTGCGGATATAAACGATAATAGTGTGGTTCGGTAAACATATTATCATGTAACATTTGTTCCAATTGCGCTCGACTACGGTCATCTTTCATGCCAATGAATAGTGTGTGGCCAACTACATTAAAATTGACGTAACGAATGTTCATAGACCGAAGTATACGCTTAACTTTTGTGACACTAAATTTATGATAAATTGAACGAATTACTTCATGTTTATATCTGCGGGCTCGACGTCGACGGTTTTGTAGTTGATTATATTGTTTGTGACTGTCGGGAGAACGACGTTTTTCCATTCGAACAGTTCGTTGAGGTGTTACTAGACGATTATGCACTGACGAAGGGTTATGTTGTGAAACGATATTTTGGTCTTCTTCATCATCAGAAATAGGTTCATATTGTAATGGCGACGGTTCGGTTAGTCCATCTTGTGCATGGACTACTAACTCATCACGCACTTCGACTGGTACTGGAGAATGAAAGAGCGGTTCATCTTGTACATGAACCGGTATCAATCCCATGTCTTCATCATCCGAAATATCTTCATATTGTGATTCTAATTTTAATGATGGTAATTGTAATG